CCTATAAAATAGTACCCATGGACGGGCAATGGGAATTTCAACTTCAAACTTGATACTTGTAATTGACATATAATCGTGAGATCTTCAATTTTCAATCTCACTTGATTGCGTGAATAACAATTATGCCTAAAGATCCACTCTGAATCTTTCGGTAGAAAATTGATTCCACATTTTTAAGAGCGACTTTTAAGTTTTAACTTGGTATGAGCAACAGTATTAAAACTTTAGCTAGATTGAAGTAACAAATTTGGATTAAGTTACCAACACAAATTTACGAAAAAGGAAACAGATCTGGCAGCAGCTGGTACGAAATGACTGCTGCAACTTCCTTTTAGTACGTGTTCAATGTTCGTGACCTACAAAACTACACAACAATAGACAGAGAGGCAAAAGGTTTGAATTTTCAAGGCAGTGAAAACAATTCTATTTTAATCAAAACAAGACCAAAAAGGCTTTTGGAATCCCACCAAGACCGCAGGCCAATGAATTCCTCCTCTCAGCCACTACAAAACTTTCATTCGTCACATGTCATGACTAAACTACCCCTCTTCCTCCTCATCTCTCTCCACATAATCCTCTCTTAATTACAAGTTCTATAATTATTAAAAAAAATATTAATGATTAATTATATTAATAATCAATCAACCAATCCTAGTCATACTGTATACTGTCATACTAATCTAAGCCTACAATGTATCATTCTTTTCGTTAGAAAAGAATCAAATTATCTGATTAAAGGTGCTAATTAATCAATTAACACAAACAATCTCCTTGTTTAACCGGCTTCTGATTTTGATCAATATCCTCTTCAATGGCGGCCTTTTCGTATCCTTTGGTCAGCTCCTCTGCCCGTCGGGCCTCAAACTCCCAATCCGTCCGGACCAAGACCACCATCATCGTCACCATACACGAGGCCTGGGCCGCCAGAAGCCCGAGCCACAGGCCCTCAAAGTCCATCTTGTAAAAAAAGGCCAGGCCCACCGCCACCGGCATCCCCACCAAATAAAAACAGCCTAGGTTAATGTTCGCGCCGACTTTGGGCCGGGCCGTCCCTCTCAGCACCCCGCAGCCCGTCGTCTGCGGGCAGTTCCCCAGCTCGCAAAGCCCAATTATCGGCAAAACTAGTGACGTCAGCGCTATGATCTCCTTGTCCTGTGTGAACATTCCCGCCCACACATTCCTCACTGAGACCGCGAAAAACAGGGCCGAGAGCCCGAGCCCGAAGCTTCCGGCAAGCCCGACTAATGCCGCAAGTTTCGCCCTCTCGGGCCTTCGGGCTCCGATCTCGTTCCCGACCCGCGTGGACACCCCGAAACTCAAAGAGGACGGGAAAATGTAAATCAAGGCTGTAGTCTGAATGAGTATTCCCATCGAGGCCACCGTGGCTTTTGGGCTGACGAGAAGCCCACATAGCAAAATCATTATCTCGTACCACCACCACTCGAGGCAGACCGAAATGCAGCTGGGCACGGCCAGGCCCAATAGAGACTTCCATCCCCTGAAGCAGTCCATGGACGGGCGGGCCCACGTCTTCTCGTAAACGCCTGAGAAGTATATATACGCAATCAACAAAACGACGACGTTGAAATTGGTCCAAACGCCGCTCAAGGCGACGCCTTCGATTCCCAGATTGAGTTTCGACACGAGGAGATAGTTTATCGGCACGTGCAGTAAAATGGAGACGGCGGCGCAGAGGGTGAGCGGTAGGTTCACGGATTGGGCCCGGAGGTAGATCCTGAGGGGATGCAGCAGAGATTGGGCCAGCAAATCGGGTATTGAGTAGAGGAGATAAGTTTGGGCCTGGGCCGCAATGGACTCGTCCTGGCCGCAAAAGAGGAGAATCTGTTTCATGTAGAGCCAGAGGAAGGAGATTGGGAGGGAGGTTAGGAGGAGGAGGAGCACGGTCCGTTGGAGGGTGAGGCCCAGGAGGGTGTACCTCTTGGCGCCAAAGGCCTGGCCGCAAATGGGCTCCATGCCCATTGCGAGGCCCGATAGGATGGAATAGCCCGTGATGTTGGCGAAGCCCACCGCTAATGAGCCGCCGGCAAGGGCGAGGTCGCCCAGCCGGCCCAAGAAGAGCATGGAGATCATGGAGCGGGAGTAGAGGAGGAGGCCCGTGAGGATCATGGGGAAGGCGATCTGGGCCAGGGAGATGGACTCGTGGACGGCCAGGGAGAGGATGGTGGTCGTGGGCTTTGGCCTATCGGTTAGTGTTGGGCTTTTGGGGATGAGGGGGGCGTCGAGGTCCGGCCCGT